CTCCCAGGGCTGCGGCCGCCCGAGGGGACACAAATCCTGCACAGGAGCACGAGGGCTGGCCCCTGCGCAAAGGCGAAGGCAGAGACTCTGAAGAGGAACCGGGGTTTGAGGGGAGTTAAGAAGGCAGCGCTGCGTCTTGCGGGAGCTGGCCCCCCTCCCCGCACCCAGCACACACGGTTAAAGCACGTTGCCACCATCCTGGCTCTGCCCCATCCCGGTGCAAAGAGCCGCTGACACCCCCGGGGACGCTGGTGACAGGAGCCAGGCCGTCACAGGGACAGCGAGAGGGCGCGGAGGACGGGTGGAGCTCGGCACGGTGCCCGATCCCTGCCCCGACCCCGGCAGCATCACCTGCTCGCTTTCCCTCAACTCACTCCCCCTCCCGCGGCCCAGTCACACGCACACAGCTGCTGTGCCATTGTTCCCAAGGCTTTTTTTAAAAACATTTTTATTTATTGCACAGCCTATTCTCCTCCCAGCACCTGCAACGTGCGAGGAAGGGACTTTCCTCTCCCTCCTTGGTGCACCTGAGTGCAGAAAAGCTGACATCTGGCCTGGATTAGACTTGCCCCACTCCACTGCAGCTCAGCCCCATCTAAGGGGATCTCCTCTGGGCTGATGCTCACGCTTTTGATGTTTCTCTTCCCAGCCGCGTGGCAAGCCAAGCACACCCTTCCCTCGGGGCCTCACACGTTTACTACCACAGGAACTTTTGTGCTGGCGGAGGATGCTCCCTCCCTGCATCCCACGGACGGAGCAACTCGCAGCAGCAACGTGTGCGAGCAGCCCTGGATGTGCCCCCGCTGCAGGCGCGCAGCCCTGGCCGCTTGCCACCTTCAAAGAAGGGGTCAGCAGGACCCAAAGCCCTTCTGGCAGTGCCCTCAGGGGTGCAGCATCCCCGGGTGGGTGCTGGTGTGTGTGTTTGGGGGGGGGGGCGGGGGGTAGGACAGGCACCCAAATGTCCCCCTGCACTGGGAACACTGGTCAGGATGCTCCTCGGTGCGGATGCACTGGTGGCTCTGCAGGGAGGGGTGCGGGCAAAAGGCCCCCCCAAGCAGGGGAAGGGCTTTTCCTCTGGGCACAGCGGGGGCCGGAGGGAGCCCTGGTCCCAGCCCGGTGCACGGCGAGCGCTGCTTTGCGCAGCTCCTGCCACAGAGGGTGCGGAGCAGGAGGGTGGCAGAGCGATGGTGCTGGTGCTCCGGAGCTGCGGTGACACCTGAAGCCTTTCCCACCCCCCGTGCAAAGAGAGGGGAGCACCCTGCTTGCTCCCCTGGGGATGCCGTGTCCCCAAACCATTGCCTGTGGCACCAGCACCCAGCCTGATCCCCCAGCACAGCCCTTCCCAGGGCCCTCGGGGGACGCATCCTGCCCCCTCCCTGGCGCTCGTGCCAGGCTCCGTACAGGAGGCTCAGAGCCCCTCAGCCTCCCCCGTTATCTTGCACAGCAGCAGCAGCAGCAGCAGCAGCAGGTCAGGCCCAGCTCTGACGCTGCGTTGGGGCAGGAGGGACCACGAGAGCAGCACCAGCCAACGCAGCATCGAAGGTGCCCCGGCTGTGGTCCGTGTCACACCAGCTTTCCATGGGCACCCGGTGTCCTGCCGACAACGTCAGTTTGGAAATGTCCCCCCCGGCCGCCCCCACCCACACCCCCATCTCTAACAGGGACACTGAAAGGAGGAAATGTCAAACCCACGCGGAGACAGGGTGCTGAGGCCGAGCAGAGCTCAGACGTGAGCGGAGCAGGGGCTGTTGTTTGGCTTCCACAGAAATGGCCTCTGAGCAGATTTTCGGCTGCAGCGGCTCTCCCGAAAGTCGCCTTTGCCGACCAGCTCCTCGCTCCATCACTGGGCTCTCTTCTTCCAACTTTCATTTCAATTTCAAAACCAGAACGCTCAAAATGCCCATAAAGAGATCAGAGGCGCACAGGGCTGAATTCTCTACTGGCCAAGCTGTGTTTATTTGTTTTTTCTTCTGCTTCTCTTTCAGAGCGAGGGGGAAGGTTCACACCAGAAAATGGGCTCAGGAGGAACCCTCCTGCCTCTTGCTCCAAGGCCACAGCCAGGCTCAGCCACCCCAGTGGGGAAAAATTACATCTACCCTTGGTTCTTGTCCAAATGCACAATGTTTGTTTTGTGTTTGTCTTTTCAGCTACAGAACCTCACCGAGCAATGGCCGGTATATATTTAACCTTTAAGTGTTTTCTCCCAGGAAGAAAAGCACAGTGAGTGCAGGGACACAGAACACGATGCTCACAGCTTACAACAGCTCAGTGGCAAACACTGCACATCCCCGAGGTCAAGAGAACGAGGATGCAGAGAAACAGCAGCACTGATGCTCAAGAGCTGTTATTTTTGCTCCCGGATCATCTTCCCTCTGAGGGAAAATGAAAAAAAAAAAAAAAAAAAAAGCTCAGCTTTATTTCCCGACCTCCCCACTCACAAACTGCCACGGCACATTTATCACACCCCCCCCCCCCGCAGTGTACCATGATCTGTATGGGGTAGGAAGGAGCGGCCGTGCCACGGGCTGGGGACAAGCGGTCGCTATTCCCGAAGCATCGTGCCGTGACACGGTGCCCTGCCCCTTCCCTCCCTGCCACGGCCGCCTCGGCCTCGCCTTCTGCCACCAAAGCCAGGCATGTTCTGGGGACCCTCTGCGGATAAAGGAGGCGTGAGCCCCTCTCGTGTGTGTCCCCCCCCCAGCCGTCCTCCCACAGGTCCCCACGCGAGGTGTGAGCCGGCCCAGGAACGGCGACGGAGACCTGAGGAGGGGCTGGGCGGCGAGACCCCTTCCCGTGGGCAGCACCGAGACTTGCTTTTGGCTTTCTGTACCGCCAACCATCAAGCGACGGGTCCCCACGCAGCGGGACCGGAGCAGGGACAGGTCCCACGGGGCCGCTCAGGGCTCCCCAGCGCCCATCAAAGCATCGCCCCAGCCCTGCCCCGCTCCCAGCCCGGAGCCGGCTCTGCCGGTATAATGCGAATTTTCCCTTCACACTCCGATGGTGCTGCGGGTTTTCGGTGCTGCAGGGTGCAGGCACCGGGGGTGCGGGTGCAGCGGAGGCCGTTCCTAACAAACACCGAGGACACGGGTACGTCACGTAACTCGGGAAGAGCAAGGGACAACTCGGGAGGGCACTGGGTACGCTTCTGTGAGTTGCTTTGATGCTTTCCCCCCTCCCAACCCCCCCCACCCCGGGCGCCTACACGGTGACAAAAGCGCGGACAAGGGCAAAATGCTCCTCCCGGCTCATCACAGGCAGCACGTTGTGTTCACAGTGAAAATGTTTGCCTAACGCCGCACCGAACACGCAGGGTAAACACAGCCCGGGAAACGTTTTTGAATGCCACAGAGAAAGGCTCCTAATGGATCGCCCACACCTGGGACGAAATAGATCTTTTATTGGAAGAAAAGCGGGAGCAAAGGGCTCACGTTGCTCAGATAACACAGCCCAGGCGGCTCTTTCTGTTGGAAATACTGGGAAGAGGAAGACGGGCGTCAGAAATAACCCACTTGCTGATCCTGCCCCACTTTGTGGCAAGACGCAAGGAAGCTGGGGAGGGCTCAGCCCGAAAAACGGAGCTGTGCTCAGAGAGGTGCTGCACATCACCTGTGACCATGAAACACAGCCAGGCAACTTGTCCAAGGGCAAACCCGACAGAGAAAAGGAAAGGCTTGAAAGCAGCAAAGCCCGAAACGGCGTAAGCCCCGAGAGCTTGGACCGAGCAGCTCCCGAGCCCTCAGAATCCACTGGAACACCAGGGAAGCCGCTCCAGCCCCAAAAAAGGGACATTCGGCCTCTCTCAAGGAAGAGAGAGGAGCAGGGGCTTCCCGGGATGCCTCTTGCCCCCCCCCCCGGGCAGGCACATCACAGGGACTGGGAAACAACGGGAGGAGGGCACTGGGAGGGCCACGCCAGCCTGGGGAGGAGGTGGGGGGGGGGGGGTTGCATTTAACTAACTAACCAACTAACTAACCCAATAACTAAATGACTGAGTGCGTCGTGCAGGAGCGGCAGGACCCCCTCTTTGCCTCGAGTGAAGCAGTGGGGGGGGGGGGGGGGGCCGCACGCGTGAGCCACGACCTCTGAAATGGGGGGGGGGGGGGGCATGTGCGGGAGCAGAGCAGCGAGAGCTGCGGCGGCAGGCAGCCCCCCAGCGAGGAGCTGCCCCCCCCCCCCCCCGCACATGCACCCCCCAGCACCCCGCAGCACGGGCCATGCTCCCCCCCACCCCAAGGCTGGGGGGGGGGGGGGTCAGGCTGACATGAGGACTTTTCTGTCCTTTTCACATTCGCCGTGCTTGCCAACCAGCCGGGGGGGCTTCTCCAGGGCTGGGGGCTGACCAGGCTGTGCTGGTGCCGTGTCCGGGGTTGGGGAGGGGTGGGGGTCCTGCCGGGGAAATCCTCCCCCCAAAATCACCTGCACAGCCCTGGCCCCGGCTCCGTGGGGAGGCCCAGCGGGCATCACATCAGCACGGCAGCACATCAGACCCCCACGAAAACAAGGGGTTGGGGGCGGCGACACGTGTTCTTGTTTGTGCGTTCCATCAAGAATAGGTTTCACTTCCTTACATTAAGAATTTATTTTCTGACCAAAACATAAAAAATACTTAAGACTTAATAAGGACAAAATATGTTTCCTCAGATAGGAAGTAATCACTATTAACAGCATCATTATCACTGCTGAACTATCCCTCGGCACAGCTTGAGTTCAATAAAAGCTCACAGGCACCGACACCTTCAAAAGCAACAGGGATTTGCCAGCCTTTCAGATGACACCAGCTGCTGAAATCTCCGGCCACGGCTCATTGCTTTTTGCAGACTGATCGTCCTTGTTCTTTGTTATGATATCTGGCAATACAAAGCTTTGAATCCGTTTCTATAGACAAAGCATTCCTTCCACACAGTTAATTTTAGCAACCCTTTTTCCCCTGTCATTGTCCAAACCGATTCCAGTAAAGCAGCAAAAAAAAAAAAAAAAATCCCTCAGCAATGAGGACGTCACGTTCCAGCGTCCTTCTCCACGGGGCTGGGCGAGTGCCACGCTGGCAGCCTTGCCCGCGCTGTTTGCGGCAGGCCCAGGCTCAGGCTGGTGTCCTCCAAAGCACAGGTGGCCCAACACGATCCAGTCATTGAGGTGGCCGTTGGGTTGGCCATTGAGGTGGCCATTGAGGTGGCCGTTGAGGTGGCCGTTGGGTTGGCCATTGAAGTGGCCATTGAGGTGGCCATTGAGGTGGCTGTTGAGGTGGCCATTGAGGTGGCTGTTGAGGTGGCCATTGAGGTGGCCGTTGAGGTGGCCACTGATGTGGCCATTGAGGTGGCCATTGAGGTGGCCGTTGAAGTGGCTGTTGAGGTGGCTGTTGAGGTGGCCGTTGAAGTGGCCGTTGAGGTGGCCATTGAGGTGGCCATTGAAGTGGCTGTTGAGGTGGCTGTTGAGGTGGCCGTTGAAGTGGCCGTTGAGGTGGCCATTGAGGTGGCCGTTGAAGTGGCTGTTGAGGTGGCTGTTGAGGTGGCTGTTGAGGTGGCCGTTGAAGTGGCCGTTGAAGTGGCCATTGAGGTGGCCGTTGAGGTGGCCACTGAGGTGGCCATTGAGGTGGCCATTGAGGTGGCCGTTGAAGTGGCTGTTGAGGTGGCTGTTGAGGTGGCCGTTGAAGTGGCTGTTGAGGTGGCCATTGAGGTGGCCACTGAAGTGGCTGTTGAGGTGGCTGTTGAGGTGGCCACCGAGGTGGCCATCGAGGTGGCTGTTGAGGTGGCCGTTGAGGTGGCCATCGAGGTGGCTGTTGAGGTGGCCACTGAGGTGGCCATCGAGGTTGTTGTTGAGGTGGCCGTTGAGGTGGCTGTTGAGGTGGCCGTTGAGGACACCGCTGCCTCCCAGCTCAAGGGTTTGTGAAGTGCTCCCTGGGGCAAGGCAGGCCAAACACCGAGAAGCTCCCTGAAGGCAGAAGGAAATCCTGCAAAAATGGAGTTCCTTTTCATATCTCAAGAGACTCAGTCAGGAATGGTAGCACAGAGCCAGCACCACTGAAATGGCAAGGGCTGGGGGTAGAAAACGTGCTGGTAGGGCAGGCTGAAGGGTCGCAGGTGCTCCCCCCTTTACCCTGCAGACCCAAGGGCTGTGGCTCCTGTTCCTCTGCAGTTGCTGTGTGCTGGGATTGTCCTGCTCTGCCCCGTCAGGAGCCTCATCCCTGACTTGGGGAGCCCTTAATGAGGATGATTTGCATGGGCGATCCTTGACCTTGGTCCCCGCAGAGCCCAGACATGAGGGTCGCAGGCTGCGCACACCACTGTTCCACCAAGCTCTTTGGTTTTCGCTCCCTGAGTGATGGGGCTTAGTGCAGGGGAACAGCCACAGCGACATCAGCCAGGAGAGCGCGTGTGGTGGGGATGCCGGTCCCACCAAACCGGCGGGTGGAAAAGGCGAAAACGCCAGCGTTTCTACAATGTGGAGAGCATCAAAATGATGCTGTGGTGGGAGCGCCGGTGCTGATTGCCCAGAGATGGGCACCTGGGGGGGGCTGGAAGACCCTGAAACCAGGCTGCAAGATCCAGCACTAATCCCCCCCCGGCAGCAGGGCAACTGTTCAACCACCCGTGGCATTGACTTCTCCGCTCGCACGGGCCAGCCCAGCAACACCCAACGCTCGTGGCAGGAAGGAGGGATAACGCGGCTTCTGCAGCACGGCAGCTGCCTCCGAAGCAGAAAAATGAAGGGGAGGGTGATGCAGAGGCTGCTGGCAAAGCTGCCAGCTCTACCTCCGTGGGATCGAGCGGGTCAACGAAGTCGCGTGTCTCCGGGGATTGCAGGTGGCAACGTCCTGATCAAACACCGTGGGCAGCAGAATCGCTGACTCGGCAACAAAAGTAAAATGAGCAAGAAGCACCTGGGAAAGAGCCATCCCTCACCCTGACCCAGAAAACAGTGAACGTCCTGGGCACCGTGGAGGTCAGTGACAGCAACTCTGCTACTGCTAACTCAGAAAGGAAAAGGTACCTCGGCTTGGGGAGGCTTCGCTGCCTTAATATGATAAAGAACAAGATGAAGCTGCCTGGAAGTGCAATAATATACATGAAAAAGAAGGAGAGAGAAGTCCAGAGGGGAGACCTCTCCACGCCTGGGAGTCCAACGAGGATGAACATTTCTGGTCTGAAGCCAGTGTGATTGTCAGCTGCCATAGGGGTCTTTGATCATCTGCTTAAAAGCACCTAAAAAATAAAATACAGCATAGGAGAAACCACAAACGCCAGCAGAGCTTAGCAGCGCTCACAGGGGGTGAGCTCCTCTCTGCTGGGCCAAAGACAAGCGTTGGCATTCACACCAGAAGCCCGTCATGATGTGAAGCGCCAAGAGGGACGGTGCAGAGCTGGACCCTGGACTGATTTCGTCCAGCAGCTTTTCTGCGCCTCAGCCCTCATGCTGGTGAGGGACAGGGAAGCTGGAAGCTGCTGAATCCATTCCAGGTCTCTGATTTCTGGCGGAGAAAACCAGAAACCTGAGGGTTAGTCTTTCTATCTGTCTAAGGGGATTAACCCCGAGAGAAGGGATGTTGGTGAGGAGTTGGGCTACACGGGCGGTCCTCAGCGGGGTTTCTCCAACCTTGAAGATGAGAGTCAGCAGGCACGGAGGCTTTGTGCCCGGGGAGGTTTGGCGTGGAGGCATGCCCGGCGCAGCACCGTGACTGCTGGGAGCACCCCACCACCCCCATCCCAAAGCATCTCCCGGGACAAACCCGGCCGGGGGACCGGGAACAGGGGAAAAATCAACCAGGGACTGATCCTCGGGAGAGGAAGGAGCAGATGGCTCTGGGCTCGCTGCGACCCGGGCTGGGGAGGAGGCTCAGCGAGGTTTGTGCAGGCACTTGGATTAGGCAAAAGGGAAAAGAGGGAGGAAGTTCAGCGACAGCCCAGCCTGCAGGATGCTTTAGCAGCAAAGTTCGGGGCAACACACACTAAACGAGAAGGGGGTGTTTAAGCCTGCCCGTAGGCAGAGCCTGCTCGGACGCAGGTGACCCAGCTCACAGAGCAGAGATCATCCCCTGTTCCAGCCCGGGTGATGAAATCCAGTGGTTCCCCAGAGCCGAAACCTCCCAGAGCTCCCCGTGCCTCCACGTCCCTCACTCCGCAGGAGCTGGAGGTCTCTGGCTGCGGGGCAGGGGATCCATCCTGCTGAGCTGGGGGCTGAAACCACGGCTCACCGCTGCCGGTCCCCTTCCAGACTGGGCTGGGAGCGAGCCTTGGGACCAGCTCACTGACGGGGGCGCTTTCACCTGGCTGGACCCACCCCTCACATGTCCTGCCCCCCCGGAAAGCTGCAATTAAGCCAAGCCTGACGCAGGGTATGTCACGTCCACCTCAGGACCTGGCACCCGCCTAAAACATGCGCCTGCACCTTCCTATTGCTAGAACATGCAGCGTGAGGTCTCCACCCCAGTGCTGCACCCACCACCTCCACCAGACCTCAACGCTCACCCCCCCCCCCCAATTCTGCTACAGAGCCCGGCAGCATCCTCCATTGCCCCGTGGGTTCACAGCCCCCCCGTTTTGGGGGCAGATGGCTCAAAGTCCGTTGTGCTGTGTGTCCTGGGTTGAGTGAGTGGTGGAGTTTTTTGGTGGCAGGGGAGGGGGCTATCGGGGCGGCCCCCTGTGAGAAGCTTCTCGAAGCTCCCCCAGCTCCAAGCCAGCTCCACTTCTGCTTGGAAACTGAGCCCATCAGCTGCGCCTCTGCGATAACGTATTTAAGAAGGGACGTGGTGACGGGCAGTCTCCTGTGAGAGGGGGACCACGATGGAGCAGGGGGGAACAAGTTTTGGACACTCCCCTCACCGAACATGAAGGAAGTGGCAGCGCTGACTGAACCCCCCATTCCCTGCCCCTGCGCCTCTGGGGGAGGAGGTGGAGATATCGGGAGCAGAGCTGAGCCCGGGAAGAAGGGAGGGGTGGGGGGAAGGTGCTCTCAAGGTGTGGCAATGCTTCTCACTGTCCTACTCTGTTATGTGTTGTTAGTGTCTGTAATAAATGTATGTTCTTTTTTTCTTCCCCTAACGAGTCTGCCTTTTGCTCGTGATCATAAAAGGGGGATTTTCCCCCATCCCAGTCCTATCTCGAACCCCAAGCCTGGCTCTCTGTCCCTTCTCATTGCCGGAGGGGAAGGGAGAGAGAGCTGCTGCATTGTGGTTGGCTGCCAACCAGCCCCAAACCACGACACTGTGGCAATAAGGAGCCAAGGGCTGAGCAAGGGGACTCACCATCCCTTGCCTGGACCAGGAACGAGCAGCTGCTGGGGGTGATGGTGGAAAGTTTGCAGTGGTGGTGTCTTAGACCTCAGCACAGTGACGCTGCGCGTCCCAGGAGGATGCTCAGGGCCGAGGGGAGCTGCAGGGCTCCGGTCTTCTGGTGCTTCCAGATTCAGACGACTAAATGCAAATCAGCCAATTAACAATATAGGTGGTGGAAGCAAATCCGTTTACAAATCCAAATGAGCAGGGGGGTGAATGCAGAGAGGAAAAAAACGATGCAAACTATAAACAATAATTTTAGAGTAGTACCTGCTTGCCGTGCGGAGGAAAGGCAGCACCCTGCAGGTGGGAGCTGGCAGGATTTCGTGGGTCAGACAGAGCACAGTAGAAATGAGACATTTTGCTTTGCTTTCATCGCATCAGAAATAGCTGCTTGTCATCGAGCTGTAGCTGTCCATCTCCATCCATCACTCATAACAGCCAAGGCAGCCCATCCAGGGCGAGGTGGGAGGGTCACGAAACCCTGTGATCTTCCTACAAATCTAATGCCATCCAGTATTTTTCATTATGCGATGATCACGGTTACATTAATACGCAAGATGTAGGAGTGTTTAGACCTTGTGGCTGCCGAGAAAAATACTTTTTTCTTTGCTCTCCTGTTTTTGATCTTCAGTGTGCATTTGGCTTGCATTCCAAGTTGTGTTTTCCTTTTCACCGGCACTTTCTGGGACGTGCCAGTGCCAGCCTGCAGCACAAACCAAGGGGAGAAGCACCACTGCTCCAAGAAGTAGGGCCTTTATCTGCCCAGCTCATGCACCAACAGCAACACCAAAGCTCCACCACCGCGGCCAGCCGCCGTCACACCTCCTGGGTGGGCAGAGCTTGGGGGACCATCCTCCTCCCCAACATGCCACAATCCAAGGACCTGTGCGGAGTCTGGGCTCTGGTGTGACATCGAGCCTCAGGCATACGCAGTGACCTAGGCGTAGTCCCAAAATTAGCACCTTGCTCTGGGTCCTCAACAACCCTCTGGAAAAGCAGCCCTGCTGCTGACGGGGTGACCTCAGCAGACCCGTCACCTCTACCAACGTGCTCACAACCGGCTTGACTGTGTCCCAAAAAAAAGGAGCCAAGCCCTCCCCGCCCCAGCGGACGGCACAGATGGGACTGGGAGCCGAGTCACTCATTTTGGTTAAATGAGTCAAACCGGCGTCTCCCGGAGCACGAGCCAACAGGCCACGACAGGGGTGACGGCGGGGGCTGAACCCTGCGGGGACCACCGAGGGCAGGGGAACGGCCCTACCCACACCGCTGTGATTTGGGGGACGGGGACGCTTCGGGAACCTGAGCAAGGCGGGTCCGTGTCCCATCGCTCCAGCGTTCACCACCATCCAGGTGCATCTCCAAGATGGGGGGGGGGGGGGGGGACACAGCCAGCATCCAGACGTTGTGATACCCGACCACATCCCATCTCCAGAGCTCGCCTGGGAGGGTCGGGAGCGCTCGAAGACTTGGCTGCTGAGGAACCAGATCTTCAGCCCCCTGTGTCCATGACCGCTGAGAGCTTCCCTGGGATGCAGGCAGCTCGAATTAATCAATTCCCAGATTAAGTGCAGAAAGGACTTTTCAATGTCCCAGCTGCTCCCCTCCGTGCCTCTCCAGGATGAGACACCATCCAGCCCAGCCTCTGGAAGAAAAGTACCCAGCCTTGCTTAAAGAGGGGTCCAGGCAACTGCCTGCCCA